GTTTAAGGATGAATTTGACAACGACAATGTTTCAAAATTAGGAAGGGAAGCAGTGATTATTTGATTATATAGACGCTTCGCCCCTGACTGTACCAGACAAACCCTGGAGGGACTTAAGACAAGAGACTGACCGCCGTCACTCCAGGCCTACCAGAAGAAAGTTAACAAACGACTTTTTGGTGCAGTGGCGGTACGGGCCACCTACTACTAGTCAACTAGGACAAGACCACACAGATAGTAGTACAATCAACTACGATGCAAACTGACAGCGCAAGAAAGAGACAGAAAAAATACCCCACACAGAAAACAACCCCCCCCCCCAACTTAATGAATGAAGAAGCGAAAATAAAGTACATGACTTTATTTTGAGTGAACTGAGTGAAAGACTTGTATTGTATCGTAAGAAACCGAGGGAGATAGAAATTGGCATGTATTTGAATGTACTAAATAAAAGGAGAAAAAGACATTACTTCAATGAACTAAAAAAAAAGAGATCAGTCAATGAACTGAAAAAGAGAAAATAATACATTTCAATGAACTGAATGAGAAAAAAAAGAGATAAATTCAATGAACTAAATGAGTAAGAAGAGATCATTCAATGAACTAAAGGAAGAAAGAGATAGATATTTCAACAAAGTAAAAGAGAGTACAAATTTACAAACTAACAGCACACAGAGTGTGGCTCGTCGGAACAAAACCGACCACACCATAAAGAGAGTCCTTTCTAAAGGAGACAATCAAAACTTGGACCGGCGGAAGAATCAAACCAAAAGTTGCGCATACAAAGACTGCTACGTACAACTGTGCGAGACATTGTTACACGAAGGCCAAAATAAACGACAGGTCACAGGGGCAAATGGCAAACTGTAATAAAAAAACAAAGAGGTGGTTATTTTTGGATATAAGGAGAAAACATCAATCAGGCATGGCAAGTCAAAAATTTTTTTCAACAAAAAAAAAAAAAAAAAGGAGAGAGAAAGACAAAACAGAACTAAATAAATAAATGCACAAAATAGGGGCTAATAATATTGGCACCAGGTCACGACTAAACCACAACACAAGAACATCCGAGATACAAAATGCAGTACACAAGAATTAATCGTTCGCGCGCCCGCAAACGAGGAAGTTGGTTGGTACCCGGGTGGGTATGGTTGAGGGAAAGGAAGAGGAAGAGGGAGGTGGGGTCCGGAGGAGGGAGACCACCAAAGGGCGGGGGGGGGTTGACACAAGAGGTCACGTGGTGACAGACAGCCACGTGGAGTAGCAGCAGCTTCATCACGTGACCCACCACGTGACCCACGGCGTGACCTGACTTACATCTCCACTCTCTCCACACGTATCCCCCACGGGTCCGTGCACTCGTCCAGACTGGTCTGAAGAGAAAGCAAGTATCATTGCGCGGCGGGAGAGAAGAAGTTTGTTTTAGTTTTAGTAAGAGTTTTACGGCGCTCGCAACACAATGAGGTCATATGAGCGCCAGAAGATTAGAGGTGTTACAAGAGAGCAACAAACATAAAAAGAAGAAGGGGAGAGAAGGACGATAGATCTTTGATATAGGAAATAAGAAGCACACCACACAAGAGAACTCGTCCAGACTTGTCTGAAGAAAAAGCAAGCATCATTGCGTGGCGGGAGAGAAGAACAACAAAACAAAAACAAACAAACAAACCCTCTCCCCCCCCAAAAAAAATGGACGAGGGAGCAGCGGTCATTGAATTGGTCGCTTCTAAGCACAAGCGGGCTATCCCGAAAAATGCAGTTTTGAGAAAATCGAAGGTAAAGTTTTAGAACCCTCGTTCAGTTTCTCTAAAAGACAAGGAGAGTTTTCTCTCTTACCAAACAATAATACACACCAAAGAAACCAAACTTCTCCTATAGGTAGGGCGATGCCCACCTTTGGTGTAGGTCAAGATTTCTGGAAACCTCCGAAATCTGGGTTAG